TAAAAGTCACTATACCACACTTGTTCTCATTACAACTGTTTCACACAAGGTAGCTAAAGGAATGAGACAACAACTAGCTTTTAATTGGGTGCATCATATGCTTGACAAGTAGAAGTTCAATCAATATGAGAGACTGACGGACTGATAGGCTGGTTGAATATAAACCTGTGATTCTCACCAGGGTGGTTCTCTTGCTGTCACCAGATTTATTCCCGACTGTGGTATTTGTTCATGCTGCCCTCCTCATCTGTATGGTCCTTCTTTCATCCCCTTGTCCTTCCTTCACTTGCTTATTCAAATGCTACACAACTATCAAGAGCCTCTGCAAGATGCTACCTCAATACTTCCCACAACTTAATGAGTGTTGCCAGATATGCGTACCATCTGCACTATTATTTAGTACTTTCTTTCAATTGATGCACTTTTTATTCTTAAATTTGTTTGAAAAGTAAACCATCATAAATGAAAAACCAGTTTGACTTGGCATAAACAGAAGCTAGAAAGTCACTATGATATAAGCAAAATAAAACAAAATTCTAGTTAGATTTTGTTGCTTTTGCCAAAGGCTCTGAGTTTGAGGCTTGCTTGTCCTTGTTTAAGAAAATAAATCAAATCCTTACCTGGAAGGGGAGATACCAGGATCATGAAGGTGGTTTTCCCCCGTCGAGGCTTATCCATAGCACTCTGGATGTGCTGTGCTGACCCCTGTGATTTTTCCAAATGTGGAAAACTCCACTGAATAATTTGTGATTGTTGGGGACTGCATTCTTCCCGCTGTGGGGTGAAAAAAAAATGATATAAGCACATGCTACATATTAATGACATATTTGCATCAAATTGAAATTTTGAAACTTCGTCATTGAAACAAACAAAAAAGCTGAAAAGAAAATAACTTTCTCATTTAGTGTTTCAATCTTATTTAATGTCACTTTCCAGTACTGCCTCATAGAATCTCTCTTACAATGCTATGCATCTCATGCTTTGGAAAACACTAATTTATCTGATCACCTATCCTCATTAGTTCTCTTGTGAATGTCACCATTTATCTATGACATTTATTTGGGAACTTAATTACAATGTTTCTTACATGATATTTAATAAGTTTGTATCATTTCATGTGGGCTGATAAAGGAGGAATACTCAGGATAACAAGGTCTTAGTCACAAGTCACAGATTAGCCAAACCAGAACTCATCTCATGTACAGTGGCTCAGTCAATACTTTGTTTGGAAGGGCGGCGTGGAAATGAGAAGGAAGATCTGAATTGGTCCTAGTAAATTATTTTTAAGCAAATCAGAAAAGAATTATGTATGGGAATGGCTGTATATATTTTTTCTCCTGGGCCTGTTAATGATAAATCATGTTCTGTGTGTAATTATATACAGCTATATATAGCTGTAAATATAATGGCCTTCATAAGATAAGAATATTTAGCAAAGTTACTTGTTGTAGTATTGCTTATTATTTCTGTTTTAAAAGCTGATAGTTTAAGCAAAGTTTAGCTTTGGATTAAATTGTGGATTAAAGTTTAGCATTTCAACGTTCATTTGCATTTCATAAGACTTCAGTTTCATATTAGAGACAAACTCAACCAAGAAATTTTAAGTTGCCAGCCACCCTGATTAAGGATTTGGTTTTTACTAAACATCTAAGCTTGAGACTAGGTTACACACTTATTTGCTATTTGACTTCACCTACTTCCTTTTCTTAAAAACACATTTGCATTATGAAATTTATAAATAAAAAAAAAACAAGAATAATACTTTAGCCATATTCCATAGCATTCCTCTCTATTAAGATTTTATATCCACAGAACTGAATCCAAATTTGAAAATAGTATGCCATATGAAAACACTTTATTATCTTCAGAATAATACATCCTTTATTTTAGGATAAAAAGCTATATATATTCCAGTATTGATTAAATATTTAAGATTTACAGAATTTTGTCCTCCGAATAATAACATATTCATTCATATATAAAATTCTGGACCTATTAAGATTCAGTAAAAGGATTTTGAATTTTTAAATAAATTTATTTATTTTCTCTTTGGCCGCGTTTGGGTCTTTGTTGCTGCGTGCGGGCTTTTCTCTGTTTGCAGCAAGCAGGGTCTACTCTTCGTTGCTGGGAGTGGGCTTCTCTTGTTGCGGAGCACCGGCTCTAGGTGTGTGGGCTTCAGTAGTTGTGGCACACAGGCTCAGTAGTTGTGGCTCGCAGGCTCTAGAGAGCAGGCTCAGTGGTGCACCGGCTTAGTTACTCTGCAGCATGTGGGATCTTCCTGGACCAGGGTTTGAACCCATGTCCCCTGCATTGGCAGGCGGATTCTTAACCACTGCACCACCAGGGAAGCCCAGATTTTGAATTGTTATATGTTATTTTTTTAATATTCAGCTACATCTTTAAGGCATAGTTATTTTTCTTTTGTGTAATATGTCCCTCTAAAATCATTATGCATTTTTTAAAACATCTTTATTGGAGTATAATTGCTTTACAATGGCAAGTTAGTTTCTGCTGTATAACAAAGTGAATCAGCTATATGTATACATATATCCCCATATCCCCTCCCTCTTGCGTCTCCCTCCCAGCCTCCCTATCCCACCCCTCTAGGTGGTCACAAAGCACTGAACTGATCTCCCTGTGCTATGCAGCTGCTTCCCATTAGCTATCTATTTTACAACCAGTACTGTATATATGTCCATGCCACTCTCTCACTTGGTCCCAGCTTACCATTCCCCCTCCCTGTGTCCCCAAGTCCATTCTCTCATTATGCATTTTTGAAGGATGAAAAAAATGCAAAAAAGGATAGTCAGAAGGTTTTGTCTGATATGAGTTTAAAAATTTTTCATTCTCTGTAAAGTCTATCAGCAAGAAGGTTATGACCTGATATTAAAAGCAGGAGGAACAAAAGGTTTGGATTTCATTTGTATTCTAATCCTCTGGCAGCTGATAAATATTTTAACTGCAACTTTCAAGTACAACATTATGCCATGTTCAAAAGTATTTTAACTAGTTATCAAAAGTAGGAATTAATTACATAAGCTTTCCACTCAGAACAGTTTAGTGGAAGGAAAAGCTGTCTCTTTGAGTAAAAGAGAATGGACCTTAGAGCCAACAGACCTGAATTATAATCACAGTCCTCCCTTTGAGAAAGTAGTTTCACTGCTTTCAACAATATTTGCAGATCTGCAAAATGGAAATAATAACGTCTTTCTTGTAGACATCAGAAATTAATATATGGAACTGATCATAAGAGTTGCTTGAAAAATAGTAGCTATAATTATCCAAGCAGGAATATTAAGTAAGGCATTCATTTTCTCTTAAAAATTGAATTCAAAGAGGTAGAACTAGGTTTATTATTATTACTTTCTACTGTTATTCGTTCATTCCTTATATTTTTACCAGAGACCTGGTAGTAGGCTCTGCAATTACGGCTCTGAGTAAAACAAGAAATCTTTTTCCTCCTGGAGTTACATTCTAACTAACAACAAGCATATTTTTAAAGAATCAATGTCCCTGGAGTGATAAAAGTACTGTTGAGCAGATGAGGCAGAGTGGTGGACTAGAGTGGAGGGAAATGAGGCTTGTGCCCCTGGGAGACAATTGTACCATGCTTTGATCTAAGATGGTGAGGGCGGAGGTGGGTTTGAGGATGCTAGTCAAGAGTTATGAATGCATAAAGAAGATGTGGTATATAGATACGATGGAATATTACTCAGCCATAAAAAAGAATGAAATAATGCCATTTGCAGCAACATGGATGGACCTAGAGATTATCATGCTAAGTGAAGTAAGTGAGACAGGGAAAGTCTAATATTATACTATTGCTTATATGTGGAATCTAAAACAAAAAGATACAGATGAACTTATTTACAGGAATAGACCCACAGACGTAGAGAACAAACTTATGGCTACCAAAGGGGAAGTGAGGGAGATAAATTAGGAGTTTGGGATTAACATATACATATTACTGTATGTAAAATAGACAACCAACAGGGACTTACTATATAGCACAGGGAATTATACTCAATATTTTGTAATAACATATAAGGGGAAAAAATCTGAAAAAGAATAAAAAGAATATATATATATATAAAATATATATATATATAAACTGAATTACTGTCACTGTGCTGTACATCTGATATTAACACAACATTATAAATCAACTATACTTCAGTAAAAAAGAGTTCAGTTTCAGGCATGTTAAATTTGAGATGATGATGAGACAGTCAAGTGAAAATACAAAGGAAGCAAGTGAATATTTTTAAACTATCATTATTGGGCTTCTATTTGTTTCAATTTTTTTCTATATTTTTTCATTTGGCAAATCTTGGTTCATGGTGCAAACACTCCAAGTTGTTGAAGTGATCTTTGATTATAATTCTCAGGTGATTTTATTTGTAGAAGCTCTTCTGAGCTATATTTACTTTAGAGGAATTCCCTAAGTTTCAGAGGAATCTGTCTGAACCATTCTGAATCTTCCTCAGGTCAGGAGATGCACAATAGCTTAGTAGGAATACGACACATGGCAGTGCCACTCATGAAGTACCTACCAAAGTTTTGTAGTTGTCTGGGTTATCTAGGCATATTCAAGATGTGGGGTTGTACTAGGTGCTCCAAAAGAGGATTCAGCAAAATACAGCTCACAGGCCAATCCAGACCCACACCTGTTTTTGTAAATAAAGTTTAATGGGAATACAGCCATACATATTCTTTAGGTATTATGTATAGCTGCATTCACACTACAATGGCAAAGCTGAATAGTCACTAGAGACTTATGACCCACAAAGCTTAAAATACTATTTGGCCCTTTAAGAAAAAGTTGGCTGACCCCTGCTCTGAAGTTTCTTCTAATCAGGAAGCCTCTTGATTTTATGATTTGATGAAAGTAAATCGGAAATGAGCTAAGATCTATATCTATTTACCACCTGAAATAATTGTGAGAGTACATTTGATATTCAACATTTAATTTTAGCAATTTTCTTTTCTTTCCTCTAAAGCTGAGATTCAGAGTTCAATCAAAGCCACAGAAACAACAGGTAAGTTAATTTTCTTTCTCTGAAAATATTCCCGGGTAAAATCCCAAGAAAGAGACAAAGTAGATCAATCAGTCTGAGGACAGAGTGAAATAGCACAAAGGAAAACATTACATGGCAACTAAAATATTTAGGAAATCTTGTGTTAAAAAAATGCAGTCCCGGAGAATATACAATGATGTGCCTCAGTGCTCTGGGGCTGGGATGAGTGGAACCAGTTCTGGTAAATGCATAAAGCCTGTGGAATCTTCCTCTGCTCAGAACCTACTGTTCCTGGTCTGTTTCTGTGGTCAGCTTGCCCTCTCTCAGAAGTATAGAGTGTGTGTTTGCTGTCTTCTCTACTTTCTAACAAAGCCTGGTCCTGGCATCCGAAGAGATGATGTTATAAACCACAGTTAACAGCCTAAAATGTTATCACTTAAAGAAGTGCTCATGCTTTGCCATCCTTAGTTTTAAACTGAATAAATTCTGGATGATGGAGCAACAGAAATTGAAAAAGATTATTGGGCAGAGGAAAATGATGATGTTGAATCTTCCTATTGTTTTGAAATTATAATTGTTTGGGGGATTTTTACCTTCCTACATCCTACCTGGTACTTATATACATGACAAATCTCTTAGGTTCTCAATAATAACCACCTTTGGTATATATAAAATGAGAAATACATGAAGTAAACTTGTAAGATCATGTAACTTTTTAAAAAATTGGAAAAATAAAGGCTTGAAAATTATGAGCGACTCTGATAACATTTTCACAGCAAATGTCCTAAATAATCATCATAGTTTACCTTCAAAGAATTAGAAATGAAAATTATTATGCTTTTAACTTTTCATCATTTATCTTCTACATAATACATCAAATGAATAAAGAAGTTATTTTTATATTGTTAACTCTATTTCACCTTATCGCCATATTTTTTTATTCTTATTTCCATCTACATAGTCTAGAAATGCAACAGAAAAAACATTGGGAAAAGCAAAGCAAAACAAAGCATAAATATAGTACATCCAGGCAAAGAGGGTAGCTTTACATCGGCTGATGCTTTGCACTGTTCTGGAGAAGTCCTGTCCGCCCGCTTCATGGATTGGTTATCAAGGAGAAGTTACAGATGAAAGACAATTGGGAAGCTGACAAAGTGTCAGCTCGTTTTAAGGGGAGACTGAAGCGTCTTTTATTTTGTCTAAAATAATGGTATCAACACAATGCCAACTTTAGCTATAATTGATTTTTAAATGTAATAAAAAGCCCATTTAGACTTTAATTTTGAATTATAGAAACTAATGCTCCTAAAACAATTAATAGACAAACCACTGATTTGAATAGCAGACTAGAAGGAAATGAGGCTGATTCTATCAGCTGTAGAAAAGTCAGTCTCAAACTTCAGATGTATGTTTGGGCTGAAGACTAAATCCAGATACACGCAAAAAATTCACAAATATTCACCCATATGATCAAGGAGAGGCATCTTCCTTAAAATAATTAGCATTTCTCTTTTAGGTAAAGTTGAGGTAGACTTCTTGACCACAGAATTATTAGTACTGCTTCCTTCCATAAATATGAGTTAAATATACATTTAATTTTTGACTAGAACATACTGAGTTCTCATGTTTGATATTTTCTTTCAGATTATGCATCTGACTTTAATTTTCTTGAAAAATTATGTTTTTACCACTCTCTTCAAAAACTATTTTTAAAGATCTAGAAATTGTTGATTGTTTTATGTAGGATCTTTTTTTGGAATTCAGGATAAGTAAGGCAACTATATATAAAATGTGAATTATAAGCAACTATACATAGATATGACATTCAATTTTATGTAATAAAGATAAAAGAAAGATAGTCATAGATGGAAATGATCAGTCAAAGTCAGAAGACATGTCCATTCATTCCACTCAACAGAGCAAAGGTAGTATGAATGGACAACTGAGTTTAACAATGCTAAGCATGAGGAATTCATGCCCAATATCTAAAGCATGTGGGAAAGTCAAACTTCACCTGACCACTGAAACATACCTGGAGAGACTCCAAATTTTGTATAATCCCCTGTCAAATATACAGAATGGTATATTCAACCAATCACCACTAACTGAGGCATTCAATAAATATTTGTTCTGTTCCATCACACATAGCACTAGCTAAGAGTTTGAGTGTTACATGGAGCCTGCCATTAAGGGTTACTAAAGACTAGTCAATATTATAAATAACTATAATCACTCCAGCAGTCATGTAGGTATAAAGTGATGTGTCATAGATGAGCCTCAGATAACCTTATGCTAAGATCAGAGAAGGAAGAGAGTTTTTTCCCTTTAGCTGTTGTTGTGGTATACATTGGGTGGGAAAAAGCAGTCTAAGAAAGATGAGGAAGGGGTTCATGAAAAAAGCGACCTTCTAGCTGCCAGATTTTTCTACCTACTCATTTTTTTAGCTCTGAATTCAGAGCTAATGAGGAGATAGAAAGACCCACTAAAAAGTGATGAAAAACTGTTTATTCCCCAGAGAAAGATGCAGCCATCATGCGGCCATTACAACAATTTAAAGCAATGATAGAATTCACTTTTCTTTAGCCTTATCATTTTCTCACAGACAGGCAGAGCTAATAATTTGTCCTTGAAAATGAACCTCTTGATTTCTTTGATAAGAGACCTCAGCTCCAGAGAAAAATGGAACAATATGCCTCAGAGTATTGGGAAAGGAATAAACCATCTGCCCTTAACTTTCTGAAAATATAACTATATTTGTCAGGGTTTTCCAGAGAAACAGAACAAAAAGAATATATATATATATATATATATATATATATATATATGTATGTATTTGTATATATGCATGGAAATCTCTAAAGAGGTTGATTATGAAGAATTGGCTCATGCATTACAGAGTCTGAGAAGTCCTAAGATCTCAGTTGGCAAACTAGAGGCCTGGAAAGGTAGGAGAATGGATGGTATAGTTCTAGTCCGTCCAAAGGGCTGAGGGCCAGGAGAGCAAATGGTGTAAGTTCCAGTCTGAAAGCTGGCAAGCTCAAGACCCAAGAAGAGTCGATATCTCAGTTCAAAGGCAAAGGAAACACTGATATCCCAGCTCAAGGCAATCCGGCAGAAAGAGTTCTTCTTATTCCATGGAGCCTTTCTGTTCTATACAGACCTTCAACTGATTGGATCAGAGCCACCCTAATGGAGGGTAATCTATTTCACTCAGTCTACTGATCTGAATGTTAATCTCATCCAAAAACACATTCACAGGCACACCCAGAATAATGCTTGACCAAATATCTGAGAACCCCATGGCCAAGTCTAGTTGACACATAAAACTACTCACCACAACAACATTCTCATAGTCACCAGCACAGCTTGTGAAAGTTCTCATTGTACCCATCTTCTTGACTTTCTCAACTGTGTTTCAGGACCTCAATTGTATTGTAGACATTAATTTTGATGGAAAATCAGAAGCCAGTACAGGCAAAAGTCCCATCAAAACTGACTACTGGCCTTTGGAAAGGAGGATGCTCTGTCTTGGTTCATTCATTATGCTTGACATCTTATGTAATGCCTGGGATTGGTTACTCATCTCTCAGAATTCATATAATGTGAAGCATGAATTATTTTTATACAGAGGATTACTTACCTGAATGTTTGAACTTTGAATGACAGAATCTTTGTTCAGGTAGAACTTTGTTCGGGTAGAATTATTGACAGATACTATTGTTCAGGTAGAACGCACTCAAACTAGAAATATACCCATAGCGAAGTGATATCCAGAGTTGTTTTTGTTAACTTGGAAATTTTATGCTGTTTGAAAATTAGTTGAGAATAAAATAACTCAGTTATGGAATGAAAAATATACCAATATTTATGTGATAGGGTCTGGCATAAACTTCCACTTAGGAAATTGTATGAATCTATAAATCTAGGTATGGCTATGTGGGTTCTTCTCTAGTTCAGGGATCTGATAACGCTCTAAGAAGTGCTCGGCCCTGTTCTTGTGGCTCTCTAGTCTACACTGAAAGGTCATAAAAACTCACAGTCTCAACTGATTAGCTAGCCAACACTCACTTTAAGAACCAACACATTTCAATGATATTGCTAAGGGTGTGAGCTCTTCCAATGAGCTCTACAATGTGTTTTATTTAATACACTAGGAATAATTCTGTCTGCTTGTATGTATATGCAGAGTCTGGTTTGGCCTATTGAAGGAAGGAGGTGTTTAGTTTACCTTGGTAGGAAGAATACCTTCTCAATTGGAGCCGAAATTGAAATAGATAACATTTCATGTAACAAAAATAAGAGGCATGCACTTATAACTCATTCCGACTGAGGAGCAGAAGCTTAGGCAGCACAGAATTGTGGTTGACAGAACAGAGTCTAGAGTTTGCATTCAAACCCCAGCTCTGTGTGACTTAGAGCAAATTATTTACACTCTCTGGGCTTCAGTTTCCACTTTATGAAATGAAAATATTATGAATAAAATAGTGAGTGTAAAACTCTTAGAACAATGCCTGGCATGCAGTGTCCCATAACTTGAAAATAAAGTCCTTTTTAACATTTTCATGTCCGTGTTTTGGATTGCTTACGCTCACATTCTCAGAAAGCATATGGCACAGGAAGAGTTACACGTTGAAAAGCTTCTCAGTGTTTTCAGGTCGTACTATCCAAATTGTGAATTTCAGGTAAGATGATGTATATATTTTGGGAGAGAGATGAGAACATTCTAAAACTTTCAGAATGCTGAGAAAAAAATTTCACTGGTCTCATTGATAATGATACCATTAACAAGTAAGATGAACTCAACTCACTTGAAACCTGTTGGTTGCACGGCATAATGGAAAGGAAACAGATAGGGTTTTGAGTCATACTTGGCTTATGTCTTAGCCCTTCTGCTTATTGCCAGACATGTTACCTTATCTCTCTGAGCCACAGTATCTCTCATCTTTAAAGCACATAATAAAAATGTTTAAGAATAAGGTGAGTTAGCACATATGGAAGTAATTAGCAGTGCCCCATTCATT